TGTAGAGCTGGAAGCTGAGAACTGGCGACTTTGTAGTACAACTTTAGCACGCGGAGTATCTGGCAAGCTGGACGATGAGAACTGGCGACATTGTAGTACAACTTCAGCACGCGGAGCAATCTATGCAGCTAGAAGCTGAGGACTGGCGACTTCGTAGTACAACTAGAGTTGTACTGGCGAACAGTGTAGTACACGGAGGAGTCATCTCTCGCTGCTCATTCATCTCTCGCTGCTGAGTCAGCTCTCGCTATAGCCATCTCTCGCGGCTGAGTCATCTCTCGCGACTGAGTCATCTCTCGCTGCTGAGTCATCTCTCACGGCGTGCACGTTCAGTTCATACTGATAGTATTTGGTTGCAGTTATGCAGGACAGGACATTCAACTGCTGGTCAAGACACCACTCGTCATACACCACTCAACATACACCACTCATCATTCATCACTTGTCATACACCCCTCATCATACAAGACTCATCATACATAGTCTCAGAGTTCAAGACAGATTTTACATTCAAATTCGGATTCCATTCAGTCCGATGTGTGATATGCAAGGTTTGCCGCCACTGAAGAATGCCACGGTGGGATGTGTGTGTCGATGTGGACCGCATCCTTGGCAAGTTGTGGTGGCCGGATGTGCGTCATCTCTCGCAGGGGGCACACACACCTTACACACGTGGAATCCCGTGGGTCAAAAGTCCGGAGCGCGTGCGTTTGACTGGAGGACGCGCATGTTGGAGAGAACGTGGACACTCCTATAGGTCAATTTCTTCTTATAGGAAACTTCCGCCGCCGGCTTGCCCGGGAACTACTTGTAGGAATGGCTGTTTGGAATCCAATCGATGAAGCACACAAGCTGGCACGCTGTCTGACCATCACAGCACTGGTTGCATACCTGGCCTCAAAGGCACAAGACCTCAAAAAGATCATTGGACACCTTCCGGCGGAATCCCAGGCCGAGGCGCCACGGGGACGGGATTCGGTCGAAAAAAGATCGGTGAGGGAAGATGAACCCACCGCACTAGGAGGGAAGGAAAACACAAGATCGGTGAGTCAAAATGAACCCACCGCTGGGCTGCGGGGGAGGGCGGCCGACGAGGCTCCCGCGGCGCGATTGACCCTTGCAGCCATGACCATGGCATTCGGCTGGCAGCTGTTCGCGCTGAGCCGCTGCCGTGGACCACTGCCGGACCTCACGAATGGCCACAGTTCAGGCTTCCTCCACGAGGCCGAGATCGGTGGGGACGCCTTCGCGATGGCTGGTGGGTTCGACACCACGTCAAACCAAGGAAGAGACCTTTCCACGCCGTGCATCGGCAGACGCCGTTCGATGCAGCGCAAATCCGCAGTGGTCGGGTCACTGTGGTATGGCTGCATGGTGAGAAGACGGTGGTGGAGGACGACTGGCGCAATGGCACCAGGCCTATGGTTCCGACAGAGGAGCAGTGGGTGGGCTACAGCTTTTTCCGTGACAACCCACCTCAACCTCCCCTGCCTGAGAATGCCACCTTGGATTCACAGACGAGCTCTTCAACGCCTGCTGGCCAGACGACTGGAAGCTCCTCGACCCCGACTCCACCTGGACAGTCGCTGTCAACCTCGCAGGTCAGCGCTTCATCGGGCCCACCGCCGGTCCGACCAGAAGATGAGTTGCTCAGAGGGATCAGGAGGGTTCGAAGAGGCTCGACTGATGGCTCCACGGGGACACCTTCAAGTACCATGTCCTCGACGATGACGGCATCTACTCGCGGCATGGATGCAATGGAAGCACCCCTGTCCCTTGGCTATTTGGGCCGTGTGAGAGGACAGGAGATTCGTGGTGAGAGGACTGCACCACAGCAGATGCAGGTGCCACTGGAGGAGGAGAGATCCGATTGGATCCTGTCTCTCCACTCCGAAGGCCTGCTGTTCGCCCGGCATCCCAATTTGCCGGATGATGCAACTCAGTGGCTGGGCATTCAAATACCTGCGGCGCCGCGCTCGCGCCCTGCCGGAGCTGGACGACCAAGTGAGGGCTCCATGCCCGCTGCTGGAAGTGAGGGCACCACGCCCGCTGCCCGAAGTAGCCAGGGTCCCATGCCCATCAACGAGGAGTGGGATTCTGATGGTGGAAGCTATGAGCTTCTAGAAAATTGAATGGCTGACCGAAAGGTCTTTTGGCCACTGGAATGTGCAGTGACGCACTGCAGGGGGAGTGTGGTATAGAAACCATGCACCTCATGAGCATTTTCGCTTTCGATCGAGCACTTCGATTCGAGCTGTGTTGATGAACTCGCCAACCAAACGGTTTGGCTCAAGCTGAGTAGGTGGAAAAGACCGCTTGCTTTGAACGCCCCAACTCATACCTCCTTAGAATTAAATTAGAATTTGGTTATTTAGGGTATGTAGTTCTTTGCCTTCTGATTCTGATGTACTTGCCCAATTGCGTTCAATAAGAGCAATACAATTCACACTCTAAAAGCAAGACATATGGGTTTGCATGGGGGCTGCGTGGAATTAGATTCCTGCATCCAAGAACTTTTTAGTAAACACCTAACCTTTGGGATTTATAATGAATTTTTGTAGTACATAGTTGAATGAACGAATATGCGTACCAACTGCACATAGAGCAAAAAAAACACCAATTTTAGAATCCTATCAATGTGGTATCATCCCCAAAAAGAGCAAAACCTTACAAAATCACAACTTTCACAACCCTATCAATGTCATATCATTTGCAAAAAAATGCAAAACCTTATAAAATCACTACTTTCACAACCCTGTCAATGTCATATCATCTCCAAAAAAACCTGACAAAATCACAACTTTCACAACCCTATCAATGTCATATCATCTGCAAAAAGATAAAAACCTTATAAAATCACAACTTTCACAACCCTATCAATGTCATATCATCTGCAAAAAGAGAAAAACCTTACAAAATCACAACTTTCACAACCCCACCCCCCATGACTACCCGCTCTCTCTCTCTCTCTATATATATATATATGTTCAGGGTTCGGGTACCTGCAGCGCCACCAGCAGCAATGAGATCTCGTTCATCACGATCCGGAAAAAGCAGCAGCTCATAAAGTTGTAACGCTTTTGAGAGAAGAGCACCAATGATCGAGCCGCTATGGATCATGGGGCCCTCTTTGCCACAAGGCAAGCCAGCTGAAACACTGAAAAGCACCCCACAAGCTTTAGCCAATAACGTCTGTGGCTTCACTACTAAAGGAAGGTCCAATCCGTTCAGCCTACATTTCACCTCTGGAATGCCACTGCCTGCCGCCAACGGTGAAACAAAGCAAACCAAAGCTCCTGCAATTCCAGCCAAACTTGTACATATTGCCATGTTTGCCAGAACAAGCAGTGTGGAACTAAGGCCATGTCTAACAAGGGTTCTCATGAGGCCAAATCGCATTTCTGTGAGCCGGACGATACCATAATCAATACCAGATGCCACAGAACCAGTTGCCACACCAATGATTGCGATTGCTATCCACTTTGCAACTGCTTGAACAATTCGCTTCCGTTTTGTCGCGGTGACTGCCAAGCCTTGCTCACTCTCATAGAAGTCGAAGTCAATAGATTCGACAGAAGCAACATGTGCCCTCCTCTCAACTTCTTCAACAGAGGTAGTACTTGGCAATGGTTGCAAGGATTCAGCATGATCCAAAAGGAGGCTTTGTGATGTATGCGGAGTGTTCATGCTTCTGCTGGTTTCCCGGCCTCTTCTCAAAATGAATTCTCTGCAGCAAATCCATTGGGCGGGGAGCTGAAAGCATTAAGAACATATCCGATCTTGGAGGCTCAAAGAGTTTGATCGTGGCCTCCTTTTGTCTCATGTATGCGTTTCCTTAATCATTTTCAGCACCCTTCATTAGTGTATTGAAACATTGTTGTGCGTTAGAGGAACATGGAGATGGACGGAGCGTCTTGGAAAAAACAAGTGCCAGTTAACCACATCATATATTTGATATCTCCATAATGAATACTATAAAATGCATAGCTGCATATATAATAATATAGATGTAAATATCCATAGTCTGGTTATGTCTGGTGGGCAAAGGTTGAATGATGCAGAATTAGGGTGACGCACCGTTTATGTTCATTGTCCAACCCCCAGACTGACTTAGATTTAGCGGATGACTATGTTTATTAGACTTCTGCTGAAATGGCTGATGAATTTGCACGTGCGGGATCGAGCCAACGTAGAACTGTTAGTCATGCTGTCACAGTCAAAATTTGCAAACACATGCAACAAAATATATGAACATGATGACACGGTGGAAGATGTCATGTGGTGATCCGAGTGCAAACTATTGCAAAATTCATAGCCCCACCTGCTTGATAGCGTGTTTGAATCCTATACAGGAAACATTGATCTATGTTGCAGTGATTGACCATGGCGGTCCACCATTCATTTGCGACACAAGTTTGCATATCACTTGCGACACAAATGATGCCTACCTTTTTGCCGTCACTTGCGACACAAATGCAGCACGATCCTCATTTCCATCATCATGGGTGGGGTGGGCTGGGCTGGGATGGGGTGTCCTCACGTTCAAAACCACTTGCACACCCGCACCTGCACACACCAGCGCGATCCTCATCACCACCATCATGGGGCCGGGCGGGGTGGGGTAATGTTCGAAACAACTTAGCAGACCTGCACCTGCGCATGCCATCGCGATTCTCACCGCCATCATCATGAGTGGGGTGGGGTGAGCTGTGTAGGTGCGGGAAAGTCGGCAGAGCTATCAAAGCAGGGAGTGTCACAAGCGACGAGAAAATGAGCGCCACAAACAACAGACCAAACAGCGTCACAAGCGAACGCCTCATGGACCATGGCTCCTGTGGTCGCGTAAAAATACGAACAATACATCTCAGCATTTCCATCATTACTACGAATCATTAAAACGTGGGTTGGTTGATCAGTTGATCAGCATCCACGGATATTATTCGTTTCCCTTGTTCATATTTATTACTGCTTCATGATTCATCATGGTGTGAGAATCTCCACATGTGAACACCCATCAGCAGTGGTTGCGTTGTCAGCAGGAATTCCTCGGCTTAGGCTGTGGCTATATTGACTGGGGACGCCCCCTCCTCAACGTTTGCCGGGTAGAACGCCAACACACGAGCGCTATGGCGGCGGCATCGAATGGGCATCAGAGTGCTCGAAGCACGCTTTCACATTACCCTATGGAGTATTTTAATGCCTTGACTCAATATCTGCAGGATGTGGCAATTGAGTTTGTTCTCGATGGGCCTAAGATTCCCTGGGTACTTAGTGTTCTTTGATTTTGTTGGGTCCAACCCGGTTTACCAGTGGAATCTCGCCTTAACCAGTTCAAAGTCAGGTTCCGGTCAACTAAACATCTATTTATATACTTCTATATACTTCTTATATCTACTTATCCTCACTGCATCAATCTTCGTGAGTTGCATTTTGGCAAGCTCGCTGGCTTCGTCGGCTTTATCAAGCCTCTCTCATCCCACAGAGTCACTCACTTGTGCATTGATGCTTCAATTCAGTTGTATATGTGACTCGGTCACTCGCTCTTCCAAGGGCCAAGGGCCCGGGTGGTTCTTGTAAACTTGTGCGTCGTCTTTTTCGATAAGATGCTGCCTAAGGCTCCACGACACTTTTGCTAAGAACACCTGGACCACCACCTATCAAAGGAAGGAAGCTGGTGAGATGGCACAGGAGACCTTAAGACTGAATTTCCGAGGGCGATAGTAGCGCGGTACTTGCAGGTTCATTGGGCGCTTTGAAACCTTGCAGCTTTTGTCCCGAAATGTGTTCTTGCCACCCAGAGTTGTTGTGACACGAAAGAACTTTGCCGCTGGCATGTTTGTGAAGGGAATCCTGGAGATGGTGATCCTGATCTGGTGGCCGAAGTTGAGGCGTCGGCAGAACACAACGTCTCCAACCTCGACAATCAATGCCAAACGTCTTGGAGATTCTCCGACCAGTAGGTATAGTTGGGCAAGCTTCAGAGTTCCCTTATTGAGGTTGGGGCAGCCTCCCGCCCCAAGCGCAACTATCGTGTGGAGATTGCTGAACTCAAGCTGAAAACCAAGTCATCCTCGCAGGGCTGTCGGACATGGTCCTGGTAGCTGATGCCTATTGTTGGAGCCGGAGTCCGGAGCCATGTGCAAAAAGAACCAAAATAAGAACCGAGTCGCGCTCAACGTTGGCGGGCGCGATTTCTTGTTCCAACTTAGCAGATCCAGCTGCGCAAACTACATTGACAGTGAATCGTCCAGCTTCATTCGTTTTGAGTGGAGCCACTATATACTAAAGTCGATGATGGCCTTCAGAACGTTGACGCAGAATGAGCCATGGATCTAGCAAACTAACTAGCTCTGGAGTCGCAACAGCGCCCAGCTTTCCTTCTTTCATCCATATCGACAATCCAGTGAGGGATCCCACGTAATTAATTAGGTAGGCTTGGACAGTTTGCCATCCCATCTTTCAGCAGCACAGACTCCAAGAAAATGAATGCAAGGCATTGTACAGGCACGTACCAATAAGAAGGCAGTGGCACGTGGTTTGTGATTCAATCTTGCTGCATAAAGCCGCTAAGGGCCCTTGCATTCCGGGGACGAATCAAGTCTGCCGTTTCAAGTCAATAAAAGGATATACTGTAAAAGGATTTGATAGTGGTGCGCACATCCATCAGCATTCCGAGTGTGATTACATGTGATTACACCGTCTGCAGCGACTCCTCAGCTTAGGCTATAGAAGGGCCGCCACATGGATTTGCTGCCAATGTTTCGACACGAGTACATTATATGTCATATTCATTCACATTCTGGGTTTCGTGTGACACTGACTCGGAGAACACGGCCTTTCCCTAGTTTCAAGCTCCAGTGACATTAGTCGATCATAGCTGAATGTACAGTGCTCTATTCAGTAAACTGAACAAATAACACATGGTAACCATGAGCAATGGACTGATTTCAAACTGCAGTTTCGAAAGGTTGGAGTTAGAAGCACACACCGGACAACTTTTCCTTCTGGGGCCGAGCTTGACGCATTCTGGTTCTGCGGTCAGGATTGCTTGGCCTGACAATATTTGTGGATAACAGTGCCACGAGATGCGTCACGCGGATCGAACCTCCTCCTTTCCATCTTTCTCTTTGTCCTTTGCCTTCTCCTTTTCTTCTTTCTTTCCCTTCTCCTCAGGCGATTGCTTGGCGCCCCCCGCTTGGAGAACACAAGCGCGCATGCTTTAAGGGCGACGTCCTTGTTTTCTGGACCTTTCTCCTGCCAATGTAGGAATTAAGCTAGCAAGCCAAACGGAGGAGGTGCAATGTGTACCGAAGCTGCGGCCTTGACCTTTTTATTCTTCATCTTGTTGTTGATCAAATTGTGCAATGCCACAGTCGAGCGCAGCATACTACCCAGATACAATGCCAGCCTGATGGCTGTGCGCAACATGTGGCAGAAGCAAACATCAAATGCAGTTTTCCAAAAACAAACACCAAAACACACCTTTTGAGGTCTGTGCATCATGTCATTCGTCTCTGTTGCCAAAGATCTAACGAGCTCTTCGGAGTCCTGGGTGCTAATGTCAAAAGCATCTTGTCTACTTAGGGTCATCATAGGCCGTCATTATCTGTAGAATCTACAGTAGATCCAGCAAAATGTACAACAAAAATCCACTCTATGCAAGCAGAATATCCAATGGCCTTTGCCTTTTGACTGTGAAGGCAACCTTTATTGATGTTTTGAAAGGAATTGAAAAACAACACAATGAGCTTGGATAGCACAAAGTATATACTATAATCGGACTTGAGGAGGAATCTGAAGTCTTAAAGTTGATCTCAACAATGGAATGATAAAGAACACCTCTCTGTCTCTTCAGCATAGACAAGTTGAATTAACCACGTCAGCAGCATTTCATGAGCACATTGTTTAAAATGTCAATGTTATATACATAGACGAAATTTAGTCCGATTGATGCTGCCATGCTCTGGGTTTTGGCGCCTGATCCGGCATCAGATTGAAAATCTCTTGAAGCTGGTAAATGATCTCCTGAGACAAGCTGTCTTGAGAAGCGTTGCACTGCTCAGTTCTTCTCTTGGCACCTGGTTCATTGGAAGCTTTCCAGCTACCACTTGGCTCAGGTATTGGGAAATTTCCCGAAGTCGCATTGCAAGGCCCTGGCAAACTGACATTGCAAGGGATGCATTTTGCAAACAACGGATCTTTCGATTTGCTCAGAGTTCATGGCCTTCAAGGCACCGATTTTGTCGCCCACCCGCACTGCAAGGGTTGAAGCTGACCTGAACATCTGCCAACCCAAAAACATGCTTAAAACCTTTAAAACTGCAAATTGAAGGCGGCGCACGCATTTTTGATGTCTCGAAGAAGGTGCTCAACACCAACTTCTTCTGCCTACAGTCTCTGACCACGGACCGTCTCTCGAGAGAATCAAACAAAACATCAACACATCAAAAATGAATCAAACCAATCTAATATTTAAAACAAATAAGCCTCAAAAGCGCCCACCGTTGACTGCACGTGCCAAAACGTTCTCTTGAAAACCTGTCAGAAACTATGTGGTGGCAATGAATGACCCGAAACACAAGTCATCTATGACTACTCCGAGCTAACTCTGCCATAGGGCCTCATCTGAGGTCTGTTCTTGGACGGAGTAGTAGGCCTCCATTGGCAGCTCCAGATCCTGAATCACTGAAGTCACGGTCAGTTTCAACCTCCAAAGCTGTGTTGTTTGATACATATATTTGAACAAATAATTTGCATCAGCGTGTGTAGATAAACGTGAAAAGGGAGGGGACGAAAGGCAGCCCTTGTAGAGATTGGGAACAACAAACAACATTTTCTGTACAGCTGCTTCAATAAACCTAGCTAGATCGCAGAAGATAGCACTCCTTTGCTGGTGCCCTTTTTGTCTTCCCCAAAACCGTGACAAAACGATGACAAAGGACACCACCACTGGACCACACATAACCTTCAAAGAGACCGCACACATAGTTGATCAACTTATCAACGCATATTTTTTTTTACAGGGGGGACCTAGCTAGATCCCAGAAGAACGCACTCCTTTGCTGGTGTCCTTTTTGTCTTCCCCAGACCATGACAAAACGATCAAAAGGGGTGCCAACACTGGACCAAACCCTTCAAACAGACCGCAAACATAGTCTTTCAACGCGTCTCTTTTTTCAGCTAGTTGGGGAGACCTAGCTAGATCCCAGAAGATGCCCTTTTTGTCTTCCCCAACGCCGTGACAAAACGATGCTGGGGAAGATGAACCATACGCACAATTAATTAGACTCACTGCCTGGCCAGTTTGCGATGATGCACTATTAAATTTTTTGGCATCGCTCACGTCGCCAAGGCCCTTATAAACATGCATTTTGACTACATTTTGTCCACTCCCTTTTTTTTCGCTCTCCGCCCCCGAAAAGCACGACCTCGCAACCACCCCGCCCCCACCCCCTTATACTCACGTCATTTGCCCATCAAGCAATTCAGCCTAGCCTATCGGCTGGTTTTCGTATCAAATATTAAGGGTTGGACGGGCTTTAGAAATCAGGCACAGTAAATATGGGCATGTCATGTCTGAGATGTCATGTCTTGGCAACCTTGTGAGAGTATAGCGTACATGCGTGTGTGTGTGTGTGCATATATATGTATATATGTATATATCTCAAGGACCTCCGCGCAGAAATATAATTGTATTGATTTTCATTTATGTTCAATGCATTTTACAACCAGCTGGAGCTTGAAAACAATTTAAACCAAAATGCAGCGCTTACAGTCCATTATTAGAGTTTTGTGAAGAAGGTTTTCCAAACAACTGAAAAATATTTGTCTTGTCCTCCCAGGATTGAAAAAGGAGTTGAAAGCTGTTCGTATATCTGATTCTATCAATATAGGGGCAGCACACGAATCGCGAACGTCCGATCGATCGCGACCATGAAGCGCAGCCTCAGTCTTTTTCAGGCACACTTTGAGCCAAAGTGTTATTTGGCAAGTTCACAGTCCAATCGGATATGCTTCTTCAAGCATGTCTATTTCCGATGATGTATACAGGGATGGACCCCTTAGTTATACCAAGTTATAACTTGGGGCAAGTTAGGTTATAAGTCACGGTAACACCGTTATAAATTGGCTTAAGTATACTAAGTTCGTTTTCAAATTATAACTTACATATATGTTTTACTGTAATTATAACTTACTTACAAGTTCTTTTTTAAAGATCTGCTCCTGAAGTTAGTTTGAAGTTACGGAAGTTAGCATTTTGGTATGTTTTTTCAATGTTTTTTTTGGTTCCCTTGCTGACGTTGATAGAATACATTGTTCTTTTTGAGGTACCTGTTTTCTTGACTTATTTTAGTTCATTTTTTACGCTATCTACATCTTTGATGTTTTCTGTTGGCCAGATTTCTGTTGGATTTTCTGTTGGTCCGCACTCTGACTTGGGCATTGTTTGTACTAGTTGTAATTTGACCGTTCCAACCAATTACTTATAAGTCGTCTTTAAGCTTTTGCAAACAAATGAGTATTTGTTCTCGAATGTCACTGATGCAATGTACATATGTGGTTATAAAGGGTGTCCTGGCTGCCAGGATGGTAGCCTGCTAGTTAAAGTCCTGGCTGCCAGGGCAAAATGATTTTAAAACCCTGGCATGGCGGTGGTTGGGAGTGATCCTGGCTGGCAGGATACCTTTGTTTGTTTCTTGATACCATGTTTTTGATTATTCCTGGAAACCAGGACTTTAGACACATGGTAAAAAGCTGAAGAGACAGATGTACACAGAGGTAAACAGAGGTATGCAGAGGCACATACCTCTGTATACCTCTGTGTACCCCTGCCTAGGGCAGAGGTATACAGAGGTATACAGAGGTATGGGCAGAGGTAAACAGAGGTATACAGAGGTGTGTACCTCTGTTTACCTCTGTTTACCTCTGCCCATACCTCTGTATACCTCTGTTTACCTCTGCCCTAGGCAGGGGTACACAGAGGTATACAGAGGTATGGGCAGAGGTACACAGAGGTATGCCGAGGTAAGCAGGTGTATGCAGAGGTATGCGCGCAGTTGCATAGTGCACACAGACACATACAGATGAATACGGACACATTAGTTTTTACACTTTCTCACATGTATGTATCTGTTTTTCGAAGATGTGTGTGATTAAATGTGTTTGTGTTCTCCTTGATGTCACAACATTTGTCAAACAATCTTTGGCCAATGTACGCCAGTTGACGTTTTCCAAGTTCAAAATCTAAGATTTTGATAAAGCCCTCCCACCTTGACATGGTTGAAGCCGAAGCCCAGCCTTTAACTCAGATTGTGCCAGCTAAGGAATCACATTTTTCGCGGTGGTCCGAACAATTTCTGAGTTTTGTTTGGCGGTGGTCCGCGCGTTTTGCGGTTGAACTACTTGTTCTTGTTAGTTTTGTTTGGCGGTGGTCCGCACATTTTTTGCTTGAACTACTTTGTTGGTTAAAAATTCATTGGTTTCAAGCTTGTTTTAACACCAAAAACAACAAAACTTCAATTATAAAGAAATTGGTGAATCAATGGTAGCAGTGATCAAAATTGAATCAAAAAATTAGCATTTTGAAGTTACGGAACTTATAACTTACTTACAAATTAGATATAAACTCATGACTACGACATTTTACTAACTTCGGTATAACTTATTTATATCTTTTTCAAGTTCAGTAACTAAGTTATAACTAGGGGGTCCATCCCTGTAAGTGTTCACATTACGATTCCTCTGTAGCGTCTAGCACTTGGCTCGACAAAAGCTACATTCATCCATTGCCTCATACCTTCTGCCTCAACTCACGCAAGAGTCTCCTATGCACTCAGTACTTCAGTACATGCTCGGGACGATATGGTCAGGTGGAATTCATCTCCCCCCTCTGCTCCTGGGCTGCGGAGTCATCACAGGGTCAGCTCTTTGAGTTCCAACCGACGCGACATCCGACTCGTGTTTGAGGTCTTCTGTTCGGTATGGCGCTAGCCTTTGCGACTTCTTTTTCTGCTTCTTCTTGTATGAAACCGGCGGTGGCTTGTTTGTGCGCTGTGGAACACTTGTGGTAACTTCGGGCTCCAACATCATTTGTTTGTCCAACTTCGAACCAGTCCCTGAGGTATGTTTGATGGTGTATCCATCAAGCTGCACTCCAAGGTTTTGGAGGGTTTTGGGCCATAGTGCAGGTTTGACTGCTTTTGTGAAAGCATCGGCTTTCTGGTCGCTTGTTCCAGCAAGGGCTTAGTTCCACGTCATCGCGATCCAACTGCTCCTGCACTGAAGCCAAACTCACGCGATGGACGCGTTTGAGATGTCTCAGCTTCTTGGAGTATCCAACTGATACTACTTTCGCGCAAGCTGTGTTGTCTTCACGAAGACAGGACGCCCAAGCATTGCAGAATACAACTCAACCAACGGCAACCTTTCCTCAAAGAGTACATACGACAGTGCGACGGTCTCCGCCTCGGTCGTGCTCCGGCACGTAGCCGTCTGTTTCTTTGACAGCCAGGCCAACGGAAACGACGTCTGCGGTCCAGACAACTGTAGTCATCCACCTGTGGTGCTATGAGTATGTTCATTGTCTCCACAGTAGTCTGCGTCTGCGAAAAGTTCAACAAACACATCCTGCGGTGCATCACGCACATGACCAAGCAACATAGCGCTCTTGGTGCACTCGAGGTAACACATGGCACGGTACAAGTACGCATCACAAGCTTGCGTCCAGGACTGTACCATGGTAGCCAGCCAAGTGACAACTCTCAACAGGTCGGGGCGAGCAAGGCGCGCCAACCACATAAGTCTCATCCAAAATGCTGCTGGCGGAAGCTGCCAAAGTCATCTGCTCCAACAAACCCTTTGCTGAGGAACGGTGATGCAACGGTCTTCATCTTCGGGCTGTTAGCAACCCTCAAGTATTCTTGAACAGTAGTCTCTGCATATGCACACATATCAAAGCCAAAGAACTCTGCGTTGTCGACTTCGACAGTGGAGTGGTGTCGACCAAGGAAGCGACCCAACGGTCCAATGTCATCTATCAGCACCTTTTCACCCAATGCCTCCCAGAAAGGCTCGCGCCACTGACTTGGTCCCGAAAGAGTCAAGTCGTCCACGTAAACAACCAATGCCAGTCCTCTGAAGGTAGGGATGGTGAAGGTGGATGCAAACTCTTCAACCTTGACCGCTCCTAAGAGACACAACTGTTCTTCGAGAAACCGTTGCCAGTGGGCCCCAGCCTCTGGGTGTCCGTACAGCGATTTGCGCAATCTAATGATCGGCCTTTTGTATCGAGGGTAGCCACTTGGAGTGAACCAAGATTCAGGCCAGAGCTCTCTGGGGAGCCTGATGTATGTGACAGCCAGACTTTTCAACTCGGACTGGAGATACGCCTTAACGGCGTCTGCCGACGACAACTTGTGACCCTCAAAAAGACCAAAAGAAATGCCGCTATTGGCTGCAACGATTGAAGCGGGAGACGCTGCTAACGTCTGGTAGAGCGCCAGCTTCCCTTCAGCCGTCTTTGCAGAATCGCCACGGTAACACACTCGACCTTTCAGAGCACGCAACTCTGGGGCCAACTCAACATGCTTCTCACTACATATTGCAAGCAAGTCTGCAATTTGCAATGTGGATGGTCTCTCCACTCTGCAGTGCAGCTTCCTTCACGCGGAACTCCTC